TTTTAAGAAATGAATTTTAAGAAAAGTATTTTTTTTAAGTTTTAAGAAATTCAGCATCACCAATACTCTCAATATCACAGAGAACAATATTATGTAGAAAAATGGAAATTGATCAGAAAATAGAAATTTCAGATTCAATGTGAAACTTTGCTGATGGGTGAAAAATATAATTTTATCTGTTTGCTATGCCTTAAATTACAGGTGAGTTTATGTCGTGACATTTATTAATCTGTGAATTTCCTGTTCATGTTAAGTAAATATCTCATTTTATTTGTTGTCTTAAAAGAACTCTGTCTGCTAAGGAAATGACAGTTTTCTGTAATCCAAATTTCATACATGAACTGCTACAGTAGCCTCCTAAACTGGTCTCCCAAGATTTTTCTATACAATAGTCAGTGTAATTTTCAAAAAATAATCTCTTATGAAAGATTCTTAAAGAGCTTCTGATGGCTCTTCAAATAAAATATAAACTCATGCCGGAGCTGGTAAGGTGTTTTCTAAATCCGACCTACTCTCTAGCCTGGTTTCATATATGCTTCTCTTTACCACCTTGCCTGCCCATGTTCCAGCCACTGGTCTAGGACTTTTTTTTTAAACAAACATGTCAAGATCTCAATGAGGACTTTTGTTCTTGCTGTTGTACTTACAAAGCTCTGTGTCCCTACACTTCTCCAATCCTCTGTGGATGACTCCTTTCCTTCAGATTTCAGCTTGAATGTCACCTTCTCATGGAGGCCCTCCCTGACTGCCTTATCGAACATATGTTCCTCTAATCATAGCACCTTATTTGTTTCCCTCATATTTTGAATTTTGCCTAGAGGTCAATTTAGATGAAGTCTAAAAAGAGCCCAGGCCCTTTAGCAACATTTTCAAAAAGTGCCTTTAAAAAGCTGTAGATAGAAAAGTTGGCTTAAAAAGTGTAAAAAAAATTATCTGATTTTTAAAAATGGCTAGAATCTACATATCCAACAATAGCCTGAGCAAATCTATATACAATTTTGAAGATATTAAAATCATGCTTTTGAAAATTATTTAAGTAGTTCATGATGGAATTGTTTACTATTTAAAAAAATAGACAACTTAGCTCTATTTACTATGTAAACTAGAAAATTTAGCAAAAAGTAAAAAAATTACGACTCAGAAATGACCACTGATAACGTTTTGGTATATAATCTTCCAGGATATTTCAATGCACACACATACACACATATTTACAATATATATTTTAATAAAAACATGGTTATACTCTGATATTTTATAATTGTATTTAAAAATCACAGTACAGTAAGTCCCCTACATACAAATGAGTTCCATTCTGAGAGCGCGTTCGTAAGTCCAATTTGTTCGTTAAGTCCAACAAAGTTAGCCTAGGTACCCAACTAACAAAATTGTCTATATAGTACTGTACTGTAATACTTTTCACACAAATACGTAAAAAACAAACACAAAAAGTAGAAGTTTTTAATATTATAGTACAGTACCTTGAAAAATACAGTAGTACAAGCTACATCACCGCTGCTTTTATGCTTGCTTCCGGACATCCTGGGCTTGAAGTAAAGACACTGTTACTGTATTCTATACAGTACTGTAAAGTACACAAAAGCACAACCCCTTGTAGAGGATGCATGCACGTGACAATGTACACTAGACACATGAACGTGATTGGACATGCGAACGTAGGTTTGCATCTTTGAAGGTTCGTATGTAGGGGACTTACTGTATATTAGATACATCCCCATTTGTCAATAAATACATAATAACATTTTAATGACCATATTATATTCCATTTTATGGTCATACATAATTTTTAAAAACCAATTAGCTGTTATTGGGAATTTAGGAATTTTAGTTTTTCACTAGAGTATGAAACTCAGATGACTATTGTTACTTATACATGTTTGAATGAAGGGTTCTTTTATAAAAGCTAAGAAAAAATTGCTAGGTTAAAGGTTTAGAATATTCTCGCTTTGGACACATACTGCTTACCTGTCCCCCAGAAAGGTTGTGTGAATTTATGTTTCCATCAGTAGCCTAAAGAACATGGCACCCTCACCAGTAGTGGGTCATTTCACTCCTTTTAATGTAATACACACTGTAGCAGCATATGAACAGTGGCCAAACAAGGTATATGAACTTGAGGGTGGTAGAGGCAGGGCAGGGTATATGAATAATTAAACCTCACTTCTCTTAATAGTCTTAGTATCTGCGTGCCTGTCAATTGTTAGAATATCTTGCTATGCTGAGTGTGACTCCAGCGCTTGGAAAAAAAATTTGATTTTATGCAATTTTTGCCTTATACAATCACTTGAAACCCAATTCTTATTTTAAGTTCAGCCTCCACTGAAATACTAAGTAAACAAATAAAAGGCACAAAAGTTTGGGGAAAACCATACATGTTTAAATAAGTACCTATTATGGGACAAGTACTAGGAATAAAACAATGAACAATTTAGAGTTCCTACCTTACCAAAGCTTAAAGTTTAGAGGGCAAGACACATAATTAACCAGGCAATACTGTGAAGGTGTGAAAAGCATGTTAAAGCAGATGTAGGATACAATACCTAAAGGATGAACAGGCCAAGTTAAGGTCCAGAGAGAGTGAGGAGATGGAGCAGCAAGGGCTGTGGCCTGAAAAGACAGGTAAGAGTTTAGCATGAAGGGTCTTGTAGAACATTTAAGGTAAAAGGAGGGAAGTCCGCTTGAGGATTTAAAAGTGAGATGTAATATAACCAGATTAGTACTTGAGACGAATCACCCTGGGAGCAGTATGGAGAACAGATGAAAGGAAAGCAAAATATATTAACAATATTGCTCATGCAGTGCTCGTTGTTATTATGAAACATCTGGAGGGGAAAATGGATTAAATGTACATTATAGTCCATCCACATAATCAAATACTAAACTATTTCAATGAAAGAATGAAACAGAACGACATATACTGACATAGAAAGATATGATTAAAAAAAGATGGAGGGCTTCCCTGGTGGCGCAGTGGTGGGGAGTCCGCCTGCCGATGCAGGGGACACGGGTTCGTGCCCCGGTCCGGGAAGATCCCACGTGCCGTGGAGCGGCTGGGTCCGTGGGCCATGGCCGCTGAGCCTGCGCGTCTGGAGCCTGTGCTCCGCAACGGGAGAGGCCACAACAGTAAGAGGCCCACGTACCGCAAAAAAAAAAAAAAAAGATGGAATGAAAGTTATGACTCAATTTCTGTACAAAGAAATCTATATTTGTATGTACATGGAATGTACAGAAAGTGCACTTATCCACAATATTAAATTTCTAAGGCAGGAGGATCTGTGAAGGAGGAGGACTTTCTCTTGTGTAGGGCTGATGTTGTTTACATTTTTTCTCATATGCATGTATTACTTTTATAATAAAAAAACACCAAGAGTAATAAATAATAAAAAATAATAGAAGGATACTGGGCTAGCTGCACAGCAAACATACTGGAACAAAGTAAGGTCTGAGTCAGAGAAACCCATCACAAGGCTGCTGCAGTAAAATCCAGGTGAGACACCGGGTGAGACTGCTTGAGCCCACAGCTGCTGGTGTGCCAAGTCACTGGTGAGCCAAAACTAGTGCATAAATGCCAGCGCCCAACCAAGCAGAGCACGCCCCCTTCCTGAATGCCACTCAAGATGATCTCCTCGCGCAAACGCCACACGCATTTGGGATTCTTCTCTAACTGCTGCCTGCTACTGCTGTACCCTGGAGGGCCGTAAACACCTAATGAACAATGGGAATATTTGGTGCCATAGCATGACTGCATGTGCTCCTCTCCAAGCTACGTGTGAATCTTACTAGACTAGGAATCTATCATCTTAGAACCTGCTGGGATTTAATCTAGGCTCCCTCTAAATTTTGTTTTCACTGGTCACAGCCTAGTGTCAGCCCACCCTCAGCTCTGATCTTATGTTCTCTGTCAGTACTGCCATCATAACAATGTTCTGTATTCCTCATGTCCCAGCCACAAACCCCAAATTCCTACCCTTGTGGAAACTGTTTCCATGGTGCCCTCTGAGATTTCCCTGAGTGACAAACTCCTTTATGTCCTCAACAACTTCCCTAAAAATTCCCATCATTTCTTTGCACTAACTTAAACTTGGCTACCCCTGGAAAAAAACCTACTCGACAACAGTCACATCAAAGAAGGGCTGTCTATTCGCATGCACTCCATATCTATAGGTTGACATGTAGGATCAATGTCCCCCTTGCTCACCAATATTACTTCTAACCAATTGCAGCCTCTTGTAAAAAGAAACAAAGACTTTCTTTGAGGCTCATACCAGCTAGTTTCGACTTTCCAACTCTCTTCTTCGTTGCTATCTTCTATTCAACTAGACTCTCCTTCTTATTCACTTAGACTTTGCTATTTGCTTTGCTGTCTTCACAGGAGGCCCTACCGGTAACCTGGGGGGACTTTCACATGCATAGAATCTTCTCCAGTAAAACCTCTGACCAGTCTTTCATCCATCTTACTCTTGGCAGATAATCTTAGCATGAAACCTACAGTCTCATGTCTATATTCTGTTGGCCAAGAACAGGGGGGATGACTAATCTTGGCCATGGAGGCTGCCTGGGATAAAGAGTTTTGTAACTGGACACACTGCTACTCTAAGCAAAACTGAGATACTATTAGTAAAGGAGAAGTAGGTAACATGTATTAGGTTAGCAACTAGCAGTATCTGCCACACTGGGCTAGAAAGTTGCTCTTAAGAAACCAAACAGGGACTTCCCTAGTGGCGCAGCGGTTAAGAATCCGCCTGCCAATGCAGGGGACATGGGTTCGAGCCCTGGTCCAGGAAGATCCCACATGCCGTGGAGCAACTAAGCCCGTGCACCACAACTACTGAGCCTGCACTCTAGAGCCTGTGAGCCACAACTACTGAAGCCTGCACACCTAGAGCCTGTGCTCCGCAACAAGAGAAGCCACTGCAATGAGAAGACCACACACTGCAACGAAGAGTGGCCCCTGCTTGCCGCAACTAGAGAAAGCCCGCGCGCAGCAACAAAAGACCCAACGCAGCCAAAAATAAATAAATAAATAATTTATATTTAAAAAAAAAGAGAAAACAAACAAGCAGTGTTGTATAGCTCAGATACTCTTAGCTCAAGTAACTTAGATATAAGTAAATAAAGAGGTAATTAAAACCAACCCACACAGTCCTCCTTTCCTTCTGAGAGAATGGTGGAAGTATCCCTTCTTGCAGCAAACATCAGTCCTTCTATTTGTGCTCCAGATACCTCCATCCCCTTCTCAGGAACTTTATGGTACTGACTGTCCCTCTTCTTATGCCTGCACATTTAATCTCTCCATACTGGATACATCACATTAGGATCTAAACATTTTCTAGTTTTTCATTATTTAAAACATATTTTCCCTTGACCAAATCTCTCTCCAGCTACTTCCCCATCTTTCTCCTACTATTCAAGCTTGTCTATATTTACTCTTTACTTCCTCATCCTTTATTATGAAACTCATCCTAACCTACCACCAATCCTCAACATACCATTATCTCCACCTAAGGTCAACAATAACCTTCACGTTGCCATACGTTTGCTTTTGCAGACTTCATCTAATTTGACCTCATAGTAGCATTTAAAACAACCGATTTTACCTTCCTTCTTCAAACACTAGTTTGTCTTGGTTTAGTAAAACTCCATTTTTACTTACTTTAAATATAGGAGGTCTCCATGGTCAGTGGTAGACATTTTCTTTTCACACCATCCATTTTCCCTATACAATCTGACTCACCTCCACACAACCCAGTACAGTCTATCTCCTGATGTTGCTAAAATTATATCTCTGTCCTAGACACCTCTACAGGTTCAGAACTACACATCAGCCCGTTCATCTAGATATCTCACAACTCTATAAACAGGACTAAAACTGTGACTATTGCCTTTTTCTTCCATCATAGTTTCTTCCTTCCATATTTTGTTTCTTAATAAATTAGAGCTAATCTCATCAGTATCTCTAAAACCAAGTAGCAAAATCTCAAGGGCTTCATTCAGCATTTAAAATTGGTAACTTCCCCTCTACTTGAAGACTCTTTGGTTTTCTCATGCTGAAATGTTGGGATTTTCCTCCTGCTTCTCTGACACCTGCTTTCAATGACCTCAGCTCCATCCTCTCTAGCCTAAGCACAAAAGTTCTATCAATATTCCTCTTCCATTCCTCTCTTTTCTATGTTCTTATCCAAATTTGTACACCCAACGTAAAATATTTAAGTCTACATATCTTGTGATCTTTTTCTTTTTTAAAACGAGGTTACTGTATTGACTGTATTTACATACTGTTTTTAAAAAATCAATAAGCTTATTTTTCTCACATAAAAAGATGCACAGATATAAGCAGTGCAGTGCTGGTACAGTTATTTGAAGATATCTTTGGGAAACCAGGATCTCTTTGACACCATCCTTGTCATCCTCATGGTCACAAGATGGCTCATTCAGCTCCATGAATGCAAAATCCAAAGGGAGAAGACTGGGGAAGGCAGAAAGACAAAGTGCAAAAGGCAAAGAGAAAACACTAGATAGGTCTGTCCCCAGTGATACTATCCACTCCCTACAGGGAGGGATGAACTGGATGTTCGATTGGCTACTAACAATACCTGTCACACCAGACCAGAAAGCAACTCTCAAGAAAATAACAATAAAGTAGTATCATATTGTCCACATACTTTGAAGATAATGCAATTAACTTAGAAATCCATAAGGTAACTGAAAACATATTTAAAATAACTCTAAACAGCTATGGATCTGAAAGTCATAAAGTCATAATAAATATTAGACAACAGAGTTAAAACAAAATAAATTATCATACACCAAATGTGTTATATAACTAAAGGGGCGTTTATAGGACTATTTATAGCCTTAAATGCTTATTTTAGAGAACAAAGACTGAAATAATGAGCTTGGAATCCACCTTAAGACACTGAAAAAGGCAACTCCATATTCTTAATAGTTACAAGGTTTCTCTCCCAGTATGAATTCTCTTGTGTATAGTAAGTGAAGAATTCTGACTGAAGGTTTTTCCACATTGAATACAGCCATAGGGTTTCTCTCCAGTGTGAGTTCTCACATGTCTCCTAAGGGAAGAGGAAACACTGAAGGTTTTCCTGCATTCCTTACATTCATAGGGTTTCTCCCCAGTATGAGTTCTCACATGCATTCTAAGAGATGAGAGACCACTAAAAACCTTCCCACAGTCAGTGCATTCATAAAGGTTCTCTCCAGTGTGTGTTTTCTTGTGAACTTTAAGGTGAGAGCTTGTGTTGAAGGCTTTTCCACAGTCATTGCATTCATAGAGTTTCTCCCCACTGTGTATTCTCTTGTGCACTATAAGGTAAGAACTTGTGCCAAAGGATTTTCCACAATGATTACACTCATAAGGTTTCTCTCCAGTGTGAGTTCTCACATGAACCTTAAGAGATGTTTTTTGACTGAAAGCTTTTCCACATTGATTACATTCATAGGGTTTCTCACCAGTGTGAGTTCTTATATGTCTCCTTAGGGTTGAGGAATCATTGAAGACTTTCCTACATTCTTTACATTCATATTGTTTCTCACCCATGTGACTTCTCTTGTGCAAAATAAGATTAGAAATCCTTTTGAAGGCTTTTCCATGCTGATTATGTTCATGATTCTCTTCAGTAGGAGTTTGCTCCTGTTGCTTAAGGGATGAATGATGACAAAAGGTTTTGTTTTTATTACACTCATAGGAATTCTCCCCCATATGACAATTGTTGCATATAGGAAGCATATTATTATGTTTAAAGTGTATGCCATGTTCGGAGCACGTGTACTCTTTTTGTGCTGTTTGAGTTCTTTCAAGATGCCACAGAGCTCTGTCATAGTCATGACTTTCACAGACTCTCTCACTTACAGAGTTTTTTTCATAACTGTTTAGGATTGAATTATGCTTCCAACACTCAATATCTAAGTAACACTTATGGCAATGTTTACTGATGGAAACTCTCTTTGAAAAAACAAGTTTTGATCTGAGTTTAGAGTCCTCCTCTAATTCATGATAGTCATACAATCCCTCCTGAGATGATGCCTTCTTTTGAGTAAATGTCACTTGCCTCAAAATCCCCTTTGGGATCTTGTGCTGTTTTCTGATTTTATGGCATTCCCAGTCTGCTCTTAATGCGGGAGACCGATCATCCGTTGTGAATCTTATCATTTTCTTGCCACTAGATGATTTTCCCCAAAAAATATTCTGGTTAGAAGTTGATTCTTTGGTTTTCAGTTGAATCTCCCAGTCTAGACAGGTGCCTTGGGGAATTCTCCTTTTCACAGTTCTTATGTCTTCTTGACCCGACAGGGAGATCACAGGCTTGCATAACTGATATTCCACCAAGGTGAGATTCATATAGTTTTCCAACATTACGTCTCTGTACATACTTCTCTGAGCAGAGTCCAGCATCACCCACTCCTCCTGGGTGAACTCCACAGTCACATCCTCAAAGGACACTGGTCCCTGTAACCAGGTTGCTGGGAATCCAGGCACTATCCTTGCCCCCTCAGTACTTCTCACATAGAAACAGGCAGAGTCCTGTGTAGGCAGAGCCCATATTGGGCATAGGTCAATGGCTGCCATCTTGAGAGCCTGAATGTGACATCCGCCTGCACAATAGGGCTGAGAGAGCTGGATACTTCTTTTCTTGTTTTTCTGATTCAATCAAGTCAGGGTTGCATTTCACTGGGTGTCCTTCCTGTAGCCAAAGAGGCAGGTTCAGGTAAAAGAAGAAAGGTGAAAATAGGGTCCCATTGGAGGCAAGGTTAAAAAAAAATTGTAGACCCTCTCTTGTACCTTCCAGCAAGGTCTCACCTGCTTAAAATATTTATTGGGATTTGTACTGACACGCAATATAGTCATCCTTGGCCCTCTACTGTTATCTTGGTTATTCATACTGGCTTCTCCTGTAGACTACTACTCAGCTCTGGGTAGAAAAAGCATGCATTATTTTAAAATACTAAAGTCAAAGAACCAGTTTAAAAAGGCATAGTTGTTTGAATTTCATGCATACTCTGCTACTTTTTAGTTTAGTTTTTAGAATAAAGAATTTTTTTCTGCTAATTACAACTGTTTTAGGTAAATTTATTTGTTGTATATGTAACTTGGTATTTACCCAAATAACCTCACATATAATTAATAGGACTGATGATTTGGCTGCTACCCTACTTAGAAATTTTATTGGAGTTGTTAAAAGTAAATATGTGACTTTGAAACAAACGTTCATTTGATTACCTGCAATTTAAACTCTATCCTCAAAGTCTGTATTCCTTATGATGATTCATTCTATCTAAAACTTGAATGGGATCAACAAAGAGGCATGAGCTATGTTCTAAGCTTTGAGACTGAGGCCTTTACAATTTTAGATGGTATAATACTTTCCTGAATAATTTTCATAATGGCCTTAATATAAATATCAAAACAATTGACACAGTGTGAAACAAAAGAGGTATGCTTGGAGACTTTAAGGACCACAACAAATCACGCAATAATGTATTACGCTAATATTTTTACAGATCTCAATTTTTTAAGATTAGTTGATACCTTCAAATATAAGACTTCTATCTCAGTATTATACTTCAGTAGAGTTCAGGTTTAATGGACAAAATTAGAGAAATGGCATTTTTATTTAGACAAAGATCTTCAACAGGTAGATTTTATGCCCCAATCCAGAAATGTATATAAGCCTGTCACTTTAGTGTAAATCAGATGGAAATATTTGTCTGATTTGTCCACTGCATGTATTCTGAATACCTAGAACACTCCCCAGCACATGGCAGACACCCAAAAAATGTTTGTTGAATAAACTGAATGAATCTATGGCAATTAAGGTTTTGTGGAAGAAGTATTTTTTTCACATCTATACTCTACTTATAGAAAACAAAACCCCACAAAATCAGAAAGTTAGGCTTCCTCTTCAAAAAAGAACATTAGTTTGCCTTCTGGTTAAAATTGTTAAGCTGAGAATTGTACTCTGGGTTCATTTCTTCATTCCCCATAGTTTTCTTTCTTTCTTAGTTATAGAACTAATAAAAAAACTAAACAACTTTACCAAACAACAGGAAAAAATATCTGAATAAACGGAGAGATTCACCATTTTAATACCATTCAGTATTAAAAGATTTCAATTTTTCTCAAACTAGAATTGCATTGGGATTTTCATTAAATTCATTCCTTCATGTTCAATAGGAATTTCTTGAAACATGACAAGTTGTTTTATAAGTTTTATAGAAAAGTTAAGACATGAATAACAAGGCAGTTATTAAAGTAATGCTTTGCTCTACTATATTACTTCAAAATGCATTATAAATCTCTATTAACTTAAACAGAATGATAATAGGGCAAAAAGAGAAAATAAAACAGAATAACTTCAGGTGCTTCCCTGGTGGCACAGTGGTTAAGACTCCACACTCCCAGTGCAGGGGGCCTTGATTCGATCCCTGGTCAGGGAGCCAGATCCCACATGCATGCCGCAACTAAGAGTTCACATGCCACAACTAAAGAGCCCGCATGCCACAGCAAAGGAGTCAGCAAGCCACAACTAAGACCCAGTGCAAACAAACAAAAAAACCAGAATAACTTCAAAAACAGATTCATGTGTAGCTAGACATTTAGTGCATGATAAAGGCAGAACTATTAATCAGCGGGGGAAAGGATAAACTAGTCATTAAATGGCATCAGGACAAATGACTGTTAGGGAAAAGCATAAATCCTACTTCACACACTCACATTCCCAGGTGGATGAAAGACATAAATATGTACCTGATAGGAATTCTAGAAGAGGAAGATAGAGAGAATACAAAAAAAAAAAAAATTAGAGAAAATGGTTGTTTTTATCCAAAGCTGAAAGATAGAAGTCCTTGATCTGCAAGTGTATACACCACATGCCACACTGAATAAATGTTTTAAATCCACCAGATACACGAGCAAAAGCTGCAGAATACCAGGGATAATGAGTAAATATTTAAAGTTACTGGAAAGAAAAGGCAAATTACCTACAAAGGAATACCAATTATACTGACTACAGACTTCTAAGCTACAACGATACAGGCCAGAAGACCACACAGTAATATATTCAAAGTACTAAAGGAAAACAATATAAACCCAGAATTCAATAGTGTGCTAAAGAGTGAGAGCAATAAAAAGACACTGACATATTTCAAAGTAACAATAGCATCCTCAAAAGATGGTCATAATAAGAGAAATGCAAACTGAAACACTGAGACATAATCTAAGGCACACCTTAAATTAAAAGAGACCTAAACTTGCATAAGCCTTATTTGGACCATGATTTAAAGAAATTGTTTTAAAAAAATAGCTTTGTTGAAATAATAGAAAAATTTGAACACTAGCTATATATTTGATATTAAGGAATTAATCCTAATTTTGTAGGTGTGATAATGAGATCCTGGTTATGACTTTTAAAGGAGTACTTATCATTCAGAAATAAATTCTGAAATATTTACAAATAATGAATCGTGTCCTAGATTTACTTCAACATACAGTGACAGGTACAAATGTGGTCATTATACTATTCTGATTTTCTATGTTTTGAAACTTTCATAATATAAATTTTAAAATCACCAGAGAGATATTTCATTTGTAAAACATGATGTTTTAGGATGTTACAGTTTTTTAAATCACAAAATGAGAGTTCTTAGGAAATTTTAGAAAATTTTAAAAATTATTTATTTTTTTGGCTGTGTTGGGTCTCTGTTGCTGCGTGCAGGCTTTCTCTAGTTGCGGTGAGCGGGGGCTACTCTTCGTTGCAGTGCGCGGGCTTCTATTACAGTGGCTTTTCTTGTTGTGGAGCATGGGCTCTAGGTGCGTGGGCTCCAGTCGTTGTGACACACGGGCTTAGTTGCTCCACGGTACGTGGGATTTTCCCGGACTAGGGATCGAACCCATGCCCCCTGCATTGGCAGGAGGATTCTTAACTACTGTGCCACCAGGGAAGTCCCAGAAATTTAAAATTTTAATAACAAAAACCAAAAAAGGTTGAAGGTTTAAGGATAAAGAACTTTTCCAGAAAGCTGACCCTCCCTCCCAAAAAAAAGATAAGCAATGAGACAAAAAGGATAAGAAAACTATATGAACAATTTCAAAGGTTCAACACCAGATTATTCAGAGCTCAAGAAAGAAAAGAGAAAATGGGAAGAAGACAGAATCAAACACAGAGAAAATTCTTACAAATAACACTATCCAGGGACTGATCCATCAAATGGGTAATTTCTTAAAAAGACTGGGAATAAACATAACATCATGAAAAATTTGAATACCAAAGATAAACTGATGAATGTAAAGGTTTCAATGATGATAAACAGGTTACATACAAAAGAACAATGGAATAGGATTTCTCAGCAGTAACACTGCTCCATTTTCTACCTAGCTCTGCCAGCTTTCAAAGTTCTGAGGGAAAATAATTTCCTATCCAGGAAATTATACTAGTCCACAGTACCATGCAAATATGAGGACAAAGTAAAATAATTTCTAGTCATACACAACCTTAATATACACCCCTTTTCGGAAAGATAATAAGGTTATCATCCATTAAAAAGGGAAAATAGAAGTTTCCAGGAAACAGGAGGTCCAACACAGAGATGAGATGAGGGAATTGGTGAGGATAAAGGGAAGTCCCAGCATGCCAGTGTGCTGCAGCCTAGAGAATAACTGATCAGTCTACACTGCAGCATGATGGAGGGCTCCTGGGGATGTGTGTTCAGGAAAAGAGAAAAATGATTAGATTGTGTGACAGGTTTGATCTTGAGGAAAATGGAATTGAGAGACATTTTACATAGGTTTAGGGAAAACAAAGCAAATAAATAAAAAGGCAATTATTCAAAACAGGAAAAGTAAAATGTATACAAGAAAGGAACTTATTACAGCTCAGCAATAGAGAATACTTACATAGTCATCACAGTGGAAACACTGAACATGAATTTAGCCAAAATTTTTGAGAGGAACTACATTACAATACTTGCAACATAATCACATTGATTTAAGGATGTAGGAAGGCAGGCAGGTATAATAGTCAAGATTCTTACTTAACACCTAAGAAACTAAAAAACGTCTCAAATTGATTAACTGCTTAAAAATTTTAAACTGGTTGCCACCATGAAATTAATAAACAGAAACATGAATTAAATAGAGTTGGGAGACCCGAATGGGGAGCTCTCACGTCCTGTGATCATAGAAGAGCCCAACAGGAAGAAGACAGACTCCTCTTCTTTCCTGGCGAGGACTCAGCCAATGAAAAGCCACAGACTGATTGTTTACTATCATCCTCCCAACTTCCTTTTTCCTCTCTATAAAAGCGCTCTTCTTCCCTTGCTGTGCGGGATTTCCATGGTAGCTGACCTTGAATTGCAATTCTCTGCTGATCCCCAAAAAGCCATTTTTGCTGGAGAAATACATGGCAATCTATATTTCAGGTCAACACTACGGAGAAGAAACACTCCTGTTTTTATTATGAGGCTTTTAATATCTAAGACTTTTAAAAATGTATGTACACATTTTTCAAAAAGTAAATAAGTTACAGAGAAAGTAAATAAAGCAATCAAATCAAGTAGAAAAATAGCAAAAAGGAAAGGAAAATTTAAAAATAGAGAGCAGGGCTTCTCTGGTGGCGCAGTGGTTGACAGTTCGCCTGCCGATGCAGGGGACACGGGTTCGTGCCCCGGACCGGTAAGATCCCACATG